CAAACCCCTTTCTGCTTGTGATTCCTGCTGCTGTTTAGAACATTTGGCAAATCAGTGTATGCATAACCAGGAGGAACAAGACAAGCAACATCCTACTAGTGAGATCCTACTTGGTGCCTTAAAAAGCTCGTAACAGACTCCAGATGAAGGCACATCTTTTTGTGGTGAAATATTATTGTTGTCCTGATTATTGCATATTTCTTGCATTGGGGACTAACTGTTCACCTTTGTGGTGTCATTAAAAGGAGACCACTGTATTCTGCTCCCCTGTATCACCCTTTCTTCCCACTTTGCTGTCTGTTTGGGTGCTGATTCTGTTTCTGTTCCTCATTACTTATTCCAGCTGCTGGGGATGATCCTATCCATCTCGCTTTGCAAGAACATACACAGTGAAGACTACACCAAAGTGCCCAAGTCTTGAGTTGGCTGACACCAGAGCTACAGCCCTGCAGAGAAAGGAGCAAACAGAACATTCCTGCCTCATACCCAGACTGTCCAACCATTGACCATTACTCCTGTGACATCCCATTTCTGATACCACTCTGCTAAGAACTGTTAGAGCTGCAATACAGCCTGATCTTCTGGCAATAGGGCCCTTGGGCCACCTGCATCCTGCCTCTGGATTATTTTTACTTCAAGAAGCAGAACTTAACTGTCTCATATCACTTGAGACATGATTAACCTGAGGGGACAATGCTTTTTCTGCCTGCTCCGTGTTAAACAATATTACACATATTCCCATTCTACAACCCACTGGGCCTAATATACAACAACTCCTCTCTCACCTTGTTCTCCTTCCACACATCTTCCCCCATACCCCTAGAAGTTCCATCTCTGTCTCATGAGCCAGGATTGCTGTTGAGATTCCAGTGCTGTTGGTAGCTTTGCCTATTTCACTGACCTGTGGTGGTAACTAGTTGTGCTTTATAGGCCTTCTCCTCCCTTGCAGTTAACCTGATTCAGCTCCTACTATTCATTTTCCAGCCTAGGCTCTCATCTGAACTATCGAGTGCTACCCTCATCCTCGCTTCTCTTGCTTCTGGAGTCAGCTATGCCTTGCCTTCAGTGGAGTTCTTCCCTTTGTGATGAGAAGCCACCAGGAGGGAGCCAAGCCTACCTATTTCTAATGTGGCCTGGCAGATTGTGGTGGTGGTGCTCAGCTGCTTCTGGAACGGGTCCCTTGGGTTCTGGATTTGGCACTTCCATGTTTCTCCCACTTGCCTCTTTTCCTTTCCCCCAGCACTGCTTTGCTGGCTCTTGTCAGCTTGGAGGCACTTCAGAGGCTGCTGCAGAACATGGGCTCAGCCCCAGGCTGGCTCTGCTGGTTGCGTTCTTGGGTTGCCAACTTTTATAGAGGTTATGATTAACTTGATTCTTCCCCTGCCCCCTTGATGAACACGCAGTTTGTTAGCTGTGTTTTTGTAATTGTGAATGTGGAGGGATCTGACTGCGTTGCTAACGCTGTATATTAGAGAGAGCACCGCTGCCAGTGCCCAGTTTAGGTTCTGTAGTTTGGATGCAAGGAGAAGTTGCTTTTATTTCAGTTACCCAGTCTTCTGACTGTGGTCTGGAGCTGTGGCTGCATCCTGAGCTCTATCTCGAGTGTAAGCACTGCAGCAGATGTAAGTAGTTCTGCAGTCGTGCAGGGTGGGTGGTTTCTGTACTTAATGGCTGTGCTCTTGGCTCTGTTCAGCCAGTGGCCAGCAGCAAGGAGTGCTGGAGAGCAGCAGAAAGCATGAAAGGTGTGTGAAAACCAGCCCCAACTTCTTAGATGAGGGAGCTGGGTGCACATCCTCAGTCTTGGGCACAACAGAATACCCACAGTTGTGCAATGACAGGCAGCAGGAGAGGGAACTAGATGGTCCTTGCCTGAGACCTGGTATGAGGTGCTTGGTGAGGGAGCCTTTGCCTTACAGAGGTGGTCCCGTCGCTGTCTCTTGTCAGGGTTGGGTTGCAGACATAACCCAATAGCGGTTCCAAGGGATGGCTTCACTGCCTGCTCAGTGTTCCTTCTGGGAGGAAAGGCTCATGGTGCAGGGAATCGGGGTCCTACAGTGGGTCCCTGCTTTGTCCTTACCTCTGGACACAGCAGTGATTGGGGGGAGGAGATGTGAGTGGGCAACTGTGTTTTATGGAGGTCTGATAAGGCTTTGCTATTTTGAGACAGCTGCCCCATCCTGCTCAGATCCTTCAAGCTGACCTTTGCTATAGCAGAAGGCACCCTTCTCGGCAGTAAAGCTTGCTAGCTTTTGTAGCACAAAGTCTGTTCTCTACTGTGTTCTCATTTGTAAGACTCTTGTTCAGTTACAGATGCCAATGTCGAGCTGCAAGTAAAAAGGAGCCCATGCTGGGTTTCCTTTTTGTTTTTTGTCTGTTTTTAGCAACATCTTCCTACTGGAAGAAATGCATGTACAGATATAAAAGGGTGAATATTTCTGTAATAAAGACTTTGCTAAAAAACCCCATATCTTTGCCTATGACTTGTGCATTGCAGTGGTTTCCCCTTGCTTCCTCTCTATCCTCTTCTGCTTCACATGCAAATCACTGACACCTTGTTTTTGGTAGCAAAAGGGCCTGTCAAAAGCTGTTTGAAGCCCATGTGTGAGATGTGTGGACTGCTAAAACCTGCCCTGCACACAGGTAATAATTTTTCTGGGCTATATTCTACAGTAAGCTTTGCGTTGGTTGATGAAATATATCTATCCTAGGGTGAGCTGAGTGCTAGTTCCTTTGCTTTACCTGCTGTCTCCTAAGCTAAGTGATCTCTATTTGAATATATTGCTTCAAATCTCTGCAGGCTGTATGAAGTCAGAAGCCATGGGGACTAACTGACAAAATAGAAGCCTTCTGCTGTGCCCCCAGTACGTACAGCAATTGCTAGATCAGCTTTATCATTTTTCCTCTTCCTACTCACCCTCGGGATGCTCCTGCCTCCTGGCTGCTATTTTTATAGGAGGTTTCTCTGCCGCTGTGAGGAGGAAGAAAGCTGAAGTAGCCTTTTTTGTAGGTTATGCCACCACATATGGGCTTGCCTGTTGGGAAAGCTCTTGAGAAGTAGATAGAGCAACCCTATGAATCTTCTTGCTACCCTCAGCTAAGTGGGTGAGAAGTGGATGTGAGCTGGTTATCAGGATTCCTTCAGATCCAGCTCCATGGTGGTGGTTCTGACCATTTAAAGTGGCTGTTCTTAGAAGGACCTGTGTTAGTGTCCTAATGGAGCTGTTGCTGTAGGAAGTAATGAGCATGACCAAAATCCTCCTACATGTTTGAAGAAGCAGAGGAAGGTGCTGGGGTGCTACCAGCAAACAATGGTGGCAACTGGTCTAAAGTCAAGGCTTCAGCTACCCTGACCCAGCTGAGTGAGGAGCAAGAGGTGCTTAAATGCATCCTGGACTCACAGTAGGGTGCAATGGTCTGGTCTGTTAGTACAACTTGTTCCTTTAGGCTGTGCTTGAGGAGAGCTTGGTTCTTGCTCATAGAGGCTCTCCACTCCTTTTTGGCAATGCTTTCCCAGGGCCTCATAATATATAGGACTAAGCTTCATGTCAAAGCTGCCAAACCTGACCAGGTGGATGCTAGGTGAGGAATGCACTGCTGGTTCTCCTTCGGCCTGATGTGAAGCTGGAAAGAGAAAGGAGAGGAGAGGAGGGGAGGACTGCTGCTTGTCCCCAGCTTGGGTCCCAACTGCTCTGTGGAAACCACTTGCCTTTGGCCACTAGAGGGAGGTGTTCCACCAAGAAACTCGGTCCTGGTGCTGCAGCATCAGCAGCATCGGCTGGTCCCTGGGGGACAAGATGATGACACTGATCGCTTCCTTCTGCTCCTAGTTACTCCTGGCAGCAGGGTAGCTAAAATCACTTGTAATTACAAATGTATTCTCCTTGTAAACGATTTGTGCTGCATGCTTGGCGTTTTCAGGGATAATTTTCCCTTCCATTCCTTGGAGCAGCACACAATTGGATATTTCATTGCGTGTCTTCCACTACTGTATATGGGTTGTGCTTGTTTCTCAGGTTTCTGCCCTAAGTAGCTCTGGGACTTGAAGATAGCATGAGGGGCTTCTCCTGCTGCTTCTTTCCTTATAGAATCATAGAATGGTTTGGGTTGGAAGGGACCTTTAAGATCAGCTAGTTCTAACCCTCCTCTTTTTCCTGTTTCCCTCCATCATCACTTCCATTGTGTAGTCAGTTGTGGGGAGGGGGAAAAGAGGGGGCATTTGGTGCTTATAAACCTGATCTAAGAAAGGATTCTCAGACCTTCAGAGAGCAAGAAACCTGCTGCTGCTCCTGTGCCGGGCTCCCAGCTCATCTCCAGAGGGAAAGGCTTGCTGCTGGAGCTAGGAATTGGAACAGCACTCAGACTTCTTGGGAAGACAGTGTTTGTCTAGCAAAACCCACAGCACCAGCCCTGCAGTAGCTCAGCACATGGAAGCATTTTGTGTGTAACCAGTAAGCTGCTCTATAGCTGTCCCACGCCAGTCATTAATATTGCAAGAGTACAGTTGTGACCTCCCTGTGGCCTGCAGCAAGGCCCCTAGTAATGAACCGGTGACGTTCCTCATTCTGTGTGATCATGAGGAGCTCAGGAGCTGCTTTGATTCTTCCCATGAGGTGGCTTTTTCCCTCTGGAGTTGCATTAGTTAGAGTGGGTATGTGTAAGTTGCAATGCATCTTCCGAAGGTTGCTGCATGGCACGTACTCAGACGTAACACGTGGAAGCTGTTCTGTTCTCCGTATCTCCAGTGTGTGGTGGGATGGCTCAAGAAGTGAGGCTGAATTGAGTAGACCTCAGAAAAGGTCTGGTTTCTGGCTCCAGAAGGACAGATTGCAAGTGGTGGAGGCTGACTCCATGGCTTGGTTGGGGAAGGTGGGGAAGAGCAGCCACAGGGACTCATGGCTGAAAAGCCTGAGGACCCTGGATTCCCACAAATGCTTTTTCACAGCCAAGTTGCTGCCACTCAGTGCCATAAATGGAGAACATACCCTCAATTATTCATGGTCTGGCTCTAACCCATTAGCCTCTGAGCCTCTTGGCTCTGGCCTTGGCCTTTTATTACAGAGGATAAAGCTCAGTTAGCAGCCAGGATTTCTGAATGACATCTTAAGCCAGGTTGACGTAAATTGTCAGTGTAAAATCTACTAACACGGAAGTCTCCAAATACTGGTGAGCTGGCAAAAGGTCCTTAGCAAAAACTATGCCATTAGTGAACCAAAGCTGTTAGTAAAATGGTGCTAGTAAAGCTACCCAGTGTGTTTGAGCCATTATAATCAGCATCTAGCAGGCGTGTGCAGGGAGAACACATGTAATTTCTTGACTTGTGGCAAGAGTCTCTTCTGCCAAGCACAGGAAATCACCTTCTCCTAAGTAGATTGTGTAACCCTGCCCCCTACATTCCTTCTCTTAGGTATGAATTTTCAGGTTCTAATACTACAATTGGCTGGGCTGTGTGTGCTGTTTGGTTTTTGTTTGTGGGAAGGGATTAGGGGAATATTGGATGCTCTGTATCTGGAGAAAAGGTGTTCTCAGTTCTCCAGGCAAAGGTGTTACCCCCACTTAAGACAGGAGTTTAAAAGCTCCAGGTAGTATGTGGATGTTCTAAGAGGTGTGGAATCTGAGACAGAAAATCCTCCTTTAGCCCCCAAGGATGGTATTTGCAC